CATGTTAGCAGAGGATCATTGTAAATCTATTACTGCAGTGTACGGGACATGTGTACGGGACATGTGTACAGATAGAATGCAATTCAGCAATAGATATACAATTCTGCACTGCTAACATGAATGGGTTAAATGATCCATAGTACAACTACATATTATAGTATTATGTAGTACATAACATGTAGTTGCACTACTGATCATTTAACACATTCATATTAGCAGGGGATAATTGTAAATCTATTGTTGCAGTGCATACTATACATAGTACATGTACATATAGAGTGCACTGCTACATTAGATTTACAATTATACTCTACTAACATGAATGGGTTAAATGATCCATAGTACAGGGCTACATATGGATAATTGAATCCATTCATGTTAGCAGAGTATAATTGTAAATCTATAGTCTCCATTATATAGGCAGAGTGTACTCTATATATGTATTGCATATAGGGTACACACTGCTAATACAATGGAGACAGATGTGCAATTAGCCCCTGCTTAATAGTGAGTCCCGATGTCCCGAGCAGCGACGATGTCCTTCAGTGCCGGAGAGCAGCGGCGAGTCAGCGCTGGTCCGGTGGGAGGAGCTCCAGGGGGGGGTGTCTAATTTAGCTGGCCCAGAGGTGCCTGCCAGCTAACTTAGGACCCCACCTGGAAGTCCTCCCGCCGGACCAGCGCTGACTCTCCGGCACTGAAGGACATTTTCGGCGAAGAGGAGCATGGCGTCACTGCTGCTCCGTTGGGTGGAGCTCCAGGAGGAGTCCTCTGGGCAAGTCGCCGGCCACCTACATTAGGACCCCACCTAGAGCCCCGCCCACATCAGTGATGTGGCGCTCCTCCGCTCAGCCTGCCCAGGGGACCCCACCACGGAAAAGTAAAGTAGAAAGAAAAAAACAGCCCAAGCTTCAGCGCTAGGCACCGGGGCATTTTGACAAGTAAAAGTACTTGTCAAAATGCCCTGTATCGGGCCCGATTCCGATGCTAGCATCGGTATCGGGACATCCCTACACTGTAGGTAAACGTTTGATTTGATTACATGTGGTTAGTAATAGGGCTGCAACAACTAATCGACATAATCGATTATAATCGATTATTGAAAAAGTTGTCAACTTTTTCAATAATCGATTAATCGGCTTCCAATCAGTTGGCCCTGTTCACGGCTCCACACACGCTGTGCGCTGCACCTCCTCATCACCTCACGCTCGTCGCTGCCAGACCCGCCCGCATCCAATCAATCACTATCTTTGGATGCGTCGATCATGTGTCCAGGGATAGTAATTGATTCCTATCGCATACGATTACATACGGTATGTCCGCATTCTGACGCTTTCAAATGCAGCTGCGGTCACCTGATTAACTTGAACGGGTGACAGCTGCCGCCTATAAACGGAAGATTTGGAATTCCTTCTACAGGAAATCACAAGTTTCTGAAGCAGGAATACCAAATCGCACCTAAAGTACAAGTGCGAATGGGGTCTAATTCTTTTGGAGTCCTATAGCTGCGGCAGAACACCAACATCTGTATGTGAGATTACACAGTGGTGACATGCATGCGCTTTGGTTTCATTTGAATATAATGATTATACAGAGGGGAGAAGGCGGCTTGCATGAATTGCTCATGCACTATTTAAATGTACATTGACCACATAACCCCCAATGTTATTTTTGCAAAGAGTTTAAAAAAAAAAAACCCCCTTATCTAAGAAAACACGTTCCAGGAAGAAAAAAAATGTGGGCACTGTTGCTAATGTGTTAGTGGAGCAAGTTTAAATCCAATATACAAAGTTTTGCTTCCACAAACCCATATTCCTACCTCCCTACCCCTCATGTGTTGGTAATAATGTGTTGTTGGGGATAGGCATATACATCACAGCTCCAACTGACTCCCATTGATAAAAGTAGGATGGACACGGACCACAAGTTGCCCTGGGTATCTGCATACAAACAGCCCCCCTAGATCACAAACTGAACATGACTAGTTTAGAAAAATGCTTTGTCATTTGTAAGTTTGGTACAGGAGTTGTATCAGGGGCTCTTGGAAGACCACAAGCTGGGAAATTTGGATTATTTTATCTGCTGATCTCACAGAGGTAATCAAAAACCATGCTGTAGTTAAAAATGATAGAACAAGGATCAGTATGTGTTTAGAAGGGGGAAAAAGGTGAGACTCGCAAAGGTTTCATCTTTTTATATAAGCTTTGTATTTATATGTATTACATACATGCTGAATGGAAGTGTACAGACTAAGACCCCGTTCACATTGAGCGATTTATCGCACGATTTCGCGGCAAATTACCGCGCGATATCGCGCTCCAATGCAATCTAATGGGGCAAAGGGTCCTGCTGTCGCGGGTCGTGTGTCGCTACAGCAGGACCCTTTTTGGAGCGGATTTAGCCGCGATTCAAGCTTGCTCAATGCAAGCTTGAACGCGACATCGCGCGGCAAATCTCGCGATGTCGCGCAATATGCAAATCGCGCGACTTGCATATCGCGCAGTGGGAACGGGGCTTCATTTTGCATGCCTCACTCCAGTTGCTGGTTTGAGGTTTGCATGCTATAACATTAGTTATAATGCATTCCCAAACACATTATACATAAAAACAACAGGAAATTGTTAATGTTCTGCCGCCCCAGTCTAAGCATTGATAGTGTGATCTCTGTAACTTACAGTTGTGGCTAGATGGCAGTAACCCCAATCTCAGTGAGTTGGCAGACAATTGACTCAATCCGTATAACACCTTGAAGATCATTGGGAAGTGTATGCCAAACTGTACAGATCTTTACAACAGTAAACATAGAATAGGTCGAAATATCATAATGTGATCCACTTGGCAAAGGACATGTGGCTGAGCTGCAGACTGGAATATCATGAAGGGTGGAGCCATGTACACAGTAAAACCTGAAATATGGGCAGGGTTGGAGACAATTACCAGAGACAGATAAGGCCAATAATTAAAGGCATATCGCAATGCATGTGTAACCAAACCCCAGAACAAAAATTTAGTATTGCTGCCTCCTAGTCCTTTGATGTGGTGGCTGTAATAGTTTTGCTTTTTTTCTAGGCTTGTGTTCTTTTGTTTCTCCTGGTGATCCTGCCAGTGACGCACTTCCTGTCCTAGGATGAAGAGAAAACAGCGTTGGCCTCCTAGAACAGGAATTGTAAGGACTACTACAGCATAAGGGGGAGATGTCGTTTTAAGTTTACCGAGGTATCCTGGGCAGGGCTGATAACACTTTTTCGGATTTCAGTATAGCAGGAAGTTAAGAGTTATTTTTTTTTTTTTGTTTCTTTTGAGAGTTCATTGTTGGGGTTTACGTACATTTTAACCATGTGAGCTGCACCATTTCTAAACAAAACTTTTTACGTTCACTGCACTTGGTAGCAGATATGTTCTTACGTTTTTAAATGTGCAGTGACGGAAGAGGCCCAAACCTACCCAGTGATCTAAAACTCTAATATATGTACCAAACATTACACAATAGTTTATAAGATGTAACTCTTTCCTAGTGAGCGGTCTATGATGGCTCACAGACCATGCGTTCATCACCCAGGTCTCCCTAACTCAGCAGGCTCAGAAGATAATTATGTAAAGACAATCTAATATTTATTGGCAAGAGTAGACAAATTCATATTGAATTTAGGTCTGGTCTATTTGTAACTTAAAGTTGGGTAGAAATATAACTTACAATTATTTGGTATTTATGAATGTTCTGGATCTAGCCAAAATGCTACAGGAACTAAGTTTTTTTGTTTTTTCTTATTTTTTAAATCCTGTTGTGACTTCTGATGTTTCCAGCTATTAACTTACTACTCGGTGTGAGAAACATCTGCATTGTCTTGTTTATCAACCTTTGACTTGCTGCAACTGACCAATAAATTGAATAAACACTTTTCTATTGTTGTGTTCTTTCTGCAAGAGTAAAGTTTAGGTAGTATCAAGTATTTGTATATTAGGTTTAATGGGTAGAAATAATGAAGGAACTTGATCTGTGAAGGTTCTCATTTGTCCGGGTTATGGTATAGCTAGTAGTAGACAGTCATATTCAGCTGGACTTGTTAGTAATGTTGAAGATGTTTTACCAGATATGCTCACCTTTCTAAGACCACCCCCACCCCCCTATCCGGCTGTGAAATGTCCATCAATGTCTAATGTAACTCAATGTACCTGCAGTAGACATGATGACGTCAGCAGTCATTAGACCGCCGGAGCCCAGGGGAGAAGAGGCTTCGGGGAGCGGTGGGACCAAGGATAAGCTGAGTATATCTGGTTTGGGTCCCCTGGACAAAACAAGCACTTAACCCTTGCAGTGTGGCAGGGGAGTTTTTTTTTTTTTTTTTTTTTTTTTTTTTTTTCTTTTTTTGTTG